GAACTGTTGTTCAGCATCTTAGCTGTGGAGGGCAGTGTCACTGGCCCTCATATGTGGGATCCAAACCGGGGCCCTCTGGCATCCCAAGCCAGCTCTTAACAAGCCACTAGGCCCACCCGCCAAATTATTTTTAAAAATGCAAAAAGAAATAACTGGTAGCTTAGAAACTTCCAAAACACGTTGTCAACTGACTATTTTCATAAAATGGATACATTATAAAAATTTAAATGTTCTTTGCTTAGAACAGGAAGAAACTTAAAATATTGGTGACTGAATCATTTTTCAAATAATCATGATGTTTGCTATTTCCCTTTTTTGTTCTCTACTTTCAAGTTAGGGCATTCGACCTACCAGTTGCTTTTTTGGTAAACATCTAAGTTAGTCAAATGCAGTTAAGACACTGCAGGATTTGAGTCACCTCAGATTTGAATTCTTTTCCTCCCCCCCCCCCCATTGCTCTCTCCTCTCTGTCAGAAAAAACACTATCCTGGCTTGCACTTAAGTTCTAAACACAAGTTTCATTTATAGAAGTTGAGGAAGTTATAAGGGGAACTTCAAAGCATCCTTACTTTAAAAACTTGTCTCTGCTGAAATGCTCTATGTTCTCATCAGAACTGATTAAACATAATCATATCTGACATAACACAGATATTCTAAGGATGAAGGTACGTGGAGTGGGGTTGGGGCCCATCCCAAAGCAGAGGCCAGGCTCGGGGTTAGGGAGTGAGTGTCCTGAACGTTTCTCAGTTCTGAGCCCCAGCGACCAAAATCCAGCCTTGAAAAGTTTGGTCCTAGCGGTAACGAGTGAGCGCAGACACATCCCCAGTAGGACGCACAGGTACAAACTTGAAAGCCTTTACCTGGTCGGTGTCACCCCGAGGTGGGAGTAGGGCCAGCGCACAGAGCCGCTGGCAGGAGGACCGCCCTAGGGGAGCCAGGAAACCGGAGCACCTGGTCGGTGTCACTGCCCACCTCGGCCTCCCGGGGGACGCAGCCACCCGCAGCCTGCAGCCCAGCGGAAACTCCAGGAGGCAGCCCCCAGGGGACTCCGAGGTTGGAAAGGTGCTCCGGTCCCTTTCTGGGTGGCCCCTGCTTCTCCCGAAGGCCGACCTCCACCTGGCCTTCGCGTGTCCACTTTCCCGCACAGGGCCATGCAGAATGGGACTGCCGAGCGTCGACGTCCCTGGGGGCTGGGTATTCTCCCCGCCGCCTTGGCCAGGACCCGGGCGCCGCAGACCGTGAAGCGGGGGTCCCTGGAGCCCCTTTGGAGGCCGTGGTTCCCTGTGCCTTTGCCGGGCTGGGCCGGATCAGGGAAGGGCCAGTGGAATGTGCTTTGGGCCCCAGCGCCTGACTTACCTTGGAGTTGCGGAGCCACCGACTCGCAGTGCGCTTTTGGGTTTCCCTGGGGACCCGCCCCGCCCAGGAAGAGAATGAAGGTTGGGGATAAAGTGCGCAGCGGAGCTACCCCTGTTCCCGGGGCGGGGAAACCGCCGGCTCTGCCCAGCACTCACCGCAGCAAAGGGGTGGAGGCTGTGCCCGGACGCATCGCGCCCGTCCTTCCCCGTAGGCTTAGTCAGATGGCCGTGACCTAGGTTGCCTGGCCGGCGTGTGGGTCCTGCCCCGACCCCCGCCTTGTGCTGGACTCGTGTCAGGGGAGTGCGCTGGGAGCTGGCTGGGGGTCACAGGGCAAGAAAAAGGGAACTGAAGTGCTAGAAATACCTCGGGACATTCCCCAAATGCCACAGGCAGATTTCGTAACCAAAGAGACGCCTGATTACCCAACCAGTGTTTTCTTGAAGCTTCCGGCATCCAACCCGTACATTACCCTGAAACATACCGTCTTTAAAAGACTCCACTTCTCCATCCTTTTCCATCCTTGGAAACCAGGCTTTTAGTGAATCATGCTTTTCATTCATCCTCCCCTTTTGAACACCTTCTCGCTGGCTAATATCTCTCCAGGGCCCACTTCCTCCCACAAGTCTATGCTCTCCTGGGTTAAAATAGCTCGCCAATCACTATCCAGATCAATACAGCAAGATTTTGCCTCAGGAGCCGGTAAGGACAGCGCCAGGTGCTTCGTTTGTTTGCTTGTTTGTTTTAGTCCTGTGGAGTCCCTGCTGATGCACTGTCTCCAGTCCCTACATCCCATCCACAGTCTCACCATAAAGAGATGTGGGGCTCCCACAGATACTGAGATTTTGAACCTGAGTCCTTCCCTTGCCCCAGTCCATCCCTGTTTCTCAAGGTAAGTAATTCCAAAAACTGTCTTAGATTGCCTGTTTTCATTGCCACAGAAAATAGTTTATCTCAGGTAGTGAGGAGTGTTTACAAGGGAAACAAACTAGTACCTTTTAAAAATTAAACTGCCTTAATATTAATAAACTACATTCTATCTTCATAATCACGTTTGATTTTCACAAATTGAGATTGGAGTCTGAGGAAGCATTCTTGCTCCTCACTTACACATGAGGAAATATCCTTCAAATTGTAAATGACAGAACAGAGAGTTGAAGCCAGAGTTTTACCATAAATCCAGGCTCTTTCTCTTACCCTATTATTCCATATCGCTAATTCTCATTAAAGACTCAGACCTCAGGTAAATTTAATCAATAGGCATGAATGTGAACTTGTGGGTGCAGTCTGATTTTTCATACAGTACCCTGAACATGTGGGTATTTCTCTCTACCCCTGACCATCCAGACTCTCCAGCTGCCTGAAAAGACTTTCTTCTTATTTATTCAAAATCTTTACCTCTCTTCCTCATTATTTCTCAAGTGCGTACTTGAAAAAAGTTTGTTCCAACTTTCCCCCCCTGAAACCTTTGTTCTTTCTCTATATCTTCTCTATTTGAACTGTCTAGGTTGTTATTGCTTTGTAATATCAAAGTCAATTAACATATGCCAGCAGAGTCAGGTAGAAATCATTTATCCACCTACAAGTTATTACCAGTGTCATCTATACACTGTGAAGGTATTCTACACTCAGCAAATTATTAGCATGTTCTACTCAGGGACAGTCCTTATACTTGTTCAGTTTTCAATGTTTTCAAAGCACTCTAACATATATTTTTTAACACATGAAATAAATAGTTCTGATATTATAATATCTTCAGTTCAAGTTCAGTTCATATGAAGTGTTTCTCACTTACAAATATTTTGGAAACTTGAAAGATCAACCAAACCTCTCAGGGTAAAATTCACTGTTTCATATGTCAGCCCAAATGATTGATTTCTTACATTGATTTCAGGCTTCTTGGTACATATGTGGTCAGACAATGAAGTTCGTGAACTCATCCTAGAAAGAGTGCTGCATACCTCATTGCTGAATATCACCACTGTCACCTCCAAAGTAGTCCCCTTGTGAAGCTACTCGTATAGCTAGGGTTCATGTGTACCAGTCGGGGTCACAGACAAAACTACTGCCAGCTTCCTGGCCAATATCACTCGTCAACTAAGAAGGAATTCCCCTAATTATGTATGATACTGTAATGGTTTCCTAAGTGTGTGTAAGTATCTTTCAAAGCCTGGAGGTTGCTGTCCTTTTGGCAATTTTATGGACAGTCACACTTGGTCCAAAAAGTTTCTGGATGCAATCTCAGTAAGATTTACAATTAGTATTTACATTAATATTTTGTGTTAAGAAAACTGTGAATACTTGGTTTTTAAACACTTGTCACATTTAAAAGAATTTGGCCTACTAGAGTCAAGTTCAGGATTGTAATTCCAATTTAAAAATGTATACTTTATTTATAGTTATGATTTTAAGTTGAAATTTTTCTATGTTTGTAGAAACATGTATTGAAACATTAAAGAGAGCTTAAAGTTCACCATATTTATGTGTATTAGTTTATATCTGTTATTTAAGAACTTAGGAAAGTTTTGTTAAATCAAACTACTGAGACACCTAAAGAGGATATCAAATATATTACACTTACAAATTTAGCTCAAACTATTTTAAAGTTTCATTTAGCTACATTTGTAAACAGGAACAATCATAAGCCACAGTCCCTTTTAACGTGATGTGTAAGTTTGGTAGACTTATAAACCGGTAATCGAACCTAAAAACTTAAGGAAGGACAAGGTTTTCAACTTTGCAAATCTAGTAATTTAGATATTAAATCATAAAGCCAAAGCACAATTCTGCAGACAAAAATTTTTTAGAACATTTAAAAACCAACACTGACAAAATTAGTTACTAAAGAAAAAAATGTTCCAAGTCCTTCCTTCTTCTCCATGTTAACTGCTGCTCTCCCTCTTCTGCTGCCTGTCGTCACCACTTCCTCTAGTCTGAGTTAGTCATGACTCAGTCAGTCTTACAGTCTACTCCTGTATGTCCTGCCAGTGTCCTCTTCCCTTCTGTCGGCTAGAGCTTCTTTGAGCTTTCAATCACTAGTACAGATCCAACTGTGTATACATTATCCCCATGTAACAGTTCCAACTCACTGAGATTACTAAGAGATGACCTATGCTAAATCCCAATGTATATGATGAAATTAAATCTCTTGTTCCAGGGCCGGCTGAGTGGTGCGTTGGTTAAGAGCTGGCTTGGGATGCAGAGGGCCCCGGTTCGGATCCCACATATGAGGGCCAGTGAC